TAGACGACAGTCATGGTGATCAGTCTTTATCATCGGGTCTCAGCTCTCCAACACGCTGTCAGAATGGTGAAAGAGTGGAACGCTATTCTAGAAAGGTGTTTGTTGGAGGTCTTCCTCCTGACATTGATGAAGGTACTGTGAATAAGTTACATTGGTGAGATGTGGGAATTGGCTTTCATGTAATTACTTTAAAAAGGTCAGATTTTCATAAAAACGAATGTATTTTCCCAGGTATGTCACTTGTAGCGCTTGTGGTATTATTTAAAACAAACAAACAAACACCACCACCCCCTGCAACACCTGAGAATTTACTTGACATTCTTTTGTACTGTAGATCAGAAGAGATGGAGACAGAAATGCCTGCATAGCAGGTCTTCTAATCTGCAATAGCAACATGTGTTCCCACATATGTAAAGTGGGAAAGCTGAAAAAGGGAACTTAGTGGGTACTGTCACTCCTCCGTAGTCTTTCCCTCTTCTTTTTAAAAGATGTGGTTGACTTTAAGGACTTTGTTAATACAGTCCTTACCAAAATTAATCGGGCTTTAATTAATCAGCTCTTATATCCAGCATATATGCAGTGTTCAGTTGACAAATGTAGGGCAATTAATATGGTTACAAAATAATAATCAGCTTAGTAGGATGGTCAGGTTTTTTCTCAATCTCAATCAGTATCTGCTCTACTTGTGTGTGCCCACACACCCCCCGACTTCCAAACCAAAAATATGACAGGTTTTGGTGTATTTTTCTTATTATAGCTGGAATCCACCACTATCTAGCTTCAACTGGCATACGTAGGGAATCTGAGGATGCCTTATAATGAAAAGAGAGGGATCTCCAAATCTGACCTACTAAATTGAAGCCTAAACCACGTGCAATTTTAATAAAGAAATAGTATGAGTTGCCAATCTGTGGTTTACAAACAGCTCAAATGCAGTTCCCATGTCACATCATGAGTTGCAGGATTGTTGATACAGGGACTGCTGGGTAATCTGAATCCCCAGCTCTAAGAAGAAGCAGGCCAACAGGTACAACCGACGTGAACATTGCTGGGTCACTCAGAATCAAAAATATATGCCCAGCCTATTCTGTGAGGAAGTTAACATGGCCACTTGGGAGCTGTTACCCTCTTCCATGAGAGGTCTGCTCTAGTAACACCTTTTTTCCTTCAGCTCCTGAGTTATGCGATATGTGTTTTGTGGCTCTAGTTGCTTGAAAAATCGGATGTGCAGCTCATGGGGTCAGATAAACTGGACACATCTCGAACAGCAATCAGAAAATTGGAAAACCACTGCCTTTCTGTTCAAACTTTTCTCCTGATGGATTGTTGCTCTGATCTATCTAGCATCACATTAGACATAATTTTAAACTAATTATTTCTTTAAAGTACATAAATAAATGCATTGAGAAAAAAGATTTTTTTAAAAAATAACATAAAATATTTTTTTCTGAAGCATTTGCATGTAAAATAAAATTGTCCTATAGGATAGTTTGAGATGTGTGTTCCACAGTGTTTCTAAACCGATGCTTAAAAATCGAAGAAATAAATCGGTAATTCAAGGCAGATTTCCAGAGGGGACTGAGGAAGGTGAAATCCCCACAGTCGCATGACCTGATGCAGCCTGCTTTTTAGGGCGTGCTACAAGGAGTGGCTGTGCTGACATGTAGCTCCTCCGTCAGTCCCATGTGGCTGCATCTGACCCTGCTTTGTGGCTATAATTAGAAATAGACCGCAGCTGAAGCATATTCACTTCTGATAGATCATGTTTGCATTTAATCCTGCTGCAAACTTGCATTAGTGGAATGTAAAATTATTTTTTTAAGCAGCCATGTGTAGCATAGAGGTGAAAGAATACTTAGGCATCCTCTATGTACATTATTGCAGTTTTCACTGTTCTTAATAGGTGTAGAAAATAGTCTGGGTTTTTGTTTTTTTTTTAAAGTAAGAATTGTTACCTTGCCACTGTCAGTCTTCGGATTCTAAGGTGCCTCATTTGTTTTTTATAGATGAAATCACTGCCAGCTTTCGTAGGTTTGGACCTCTTGTGGTGGACTGGCCTCACAAAGCTGAAAGCAAGTCATATTTTCCACCTAAAGGTAATCAGTTTAAAATATGTTTATGCAGTCTGTTCTGGTAAAAGGAAACTACGTCTGCAATGTGGCACGCCATTACAAAGAAAAGATTTGACTCTTTACGATGAATTTTCTCTCTTTCAACAAGCATATTTTCAGCAGTTGTCATGATGGAGAAAACACAATTCAGTGACTGAAATGTGGTCCTGTGTGTGTATTTCTTCAGTAAGCCTGGAGTCCTTGAATCATGCCCTAATTTACACTAGGCTTACTTTAGAAGGCAAGTTGCAGAAATTTCCTAGGGCTGATTTTGTTGCAGTTTGCATACTGTAGAAACCATAGGAGTAATAGCTGGAAGTCACTGGTGGATGGCTAAACAGTATTTTGTAGAGACGCGTGAGTCCGCTTTGTGTGTTCTGACCCAAGCAGCTGTGATCCTGCTCAGAACCCCAAGGTCTGCATCAGGGTGCACCGGGTG